CCCAATAAGATCATGCCACGTGTTTATATGATTTATATCATTAATTAATACTCCTAGGAAAAGAATAGCCACAGAATGAGAAAGGAGGATCCCCTCCAAGCCTTTGCCATAGCTCGACACCTTCATAATCGACGATGGTTATCTACTTAAACTTTTATATCTATTTCTAGGAGCTCTGTGTAATCTCTAGTGATTATGATCTCAAGAGTCAAGATGGCCTTGATGGGCATAGAGAAGAAGTCTTCCGTCGTCGAAGACATTGATTGTAATTCCGGGCTCCGTAGCTGTTCCAACTTCATGGACGGCTCTCGTCCACCGTCGAACTCAACCTCGTCTTCACGATTTGTACTAATTTGGCACCAAATTCAATTCTTATTTGTATTTTGATTCCTATTATCCGATCAACCTCTTTAGCCTCTTTGACGAACCCGGACGTCGGAGCCCTTCCAAATCCATCGCGGTCCGATCTGCACCATATGAAGAAGCTTTGGTGCTTCATTTGCATATAGCTGATCTCTCCTTTGTTGGGGGATTTTGTCGTCAGTAGATCCCCGGACAGTTCGAGGTCGCAGAGGATGTCGACGGCGGCGGCGGAGGATTCGCCTCTCTTACTCCGCTATTCTTTTCCTGGGAGTATTAGTTAATGATATAAATCATATAAACACGTGGCATGATCTTATTGGGGTGGTGCACGGGTGAGGTGGTACACCCGGTGCACTCAAGATTTTCTCCTCCACCCCACCTCTTTATCTCCCTAAAATCATGCTCTTCAATAATAATTAAACAATAATTAAATTTGAGAACACCTAAAATACCCCCAATTTGTAAGACCCGTTAGATTAAGTGAAAAGATAATGAACGGGATGGAATAAGTTGGCATGGTGCAAACCCCTTGGTGGGTTAGCATCCCATCTCATTCCATTGCTTCCCTGTGTTTTCCTTATGTGATTCCTTCTCCCTTATTGGTAGCCGGACTGGTGAGCAAAAGCCCTTCTTCAATTCTGCATATCTCCTCATTAACTCCTCTGAGATCTTTCGTGATCTCCTTGTTCTTATTGCATGCCCCAGATTTGGTAACATTGAAGGCTCCGCAGAGGGTAGTTGGAGAGATCCTCGTTTGAGAGGCTATAGTTGAAATGGGGTCAGAGAGAACGATAGAGAGAGAAAACATTGAAAGTATTTTTTCGGCAAATGATTTGTTGTTATGAATACTAAAGTTAAACTCGTTAAATATGAAGCATAGCAGAATGATATAGGTGATCTCTTTAAAAGATCTCAAATACATATGTGGATTGAATGCATACAAATTATTGATAAAAAAAGGTTGAGATGTTACAAGTTTTATCAAAGGTTCTTTGCGTCTCACTTGAACAATGGCGGAATAAACTTCAACAAGTACTTTGAATCCCAAAAGAGTATAATGTAACACTTTAAGCAAATCACGTAAGAGATCTAAAGACCCTAAGAAACAATCCAATTGTAAATAACAAAGTGTGTTTTTTTAATGAAATGAAAGAATTCTTGTAAAAATTTTAAAATTATATTCAGTACGAGCCATGTAAAAGTGAATAACTTCCCAAGGAAGTCAACATGATACACTAAACTTAAAAGTCACCGTTATACACCAAAACATAAAACGTAAAACACTTTTTTTTTGGTAAAGTAACGAGCGCTGGGGGCGCTCCGCCCTTAACAACTAATCAAACGAGGGGTTCCAACACCCAATCTATCAAAAAGCAAGCAGCCAGTGGTTCAGCATCGGGCAAGAGACTGCAACCGGGTGAAAACCGTAGGAGAGCCCATGACCGGTCGACGCAAGGAAGTCGGCCACGTAGTTGCCTTCCCGGTAGACATGCTCCAGTGAGACCTGCCAATCACGAGCAAGCCAGTCCCTAATTGCTGCAACAAGAGTCCGATGGGGGTGGGTCTCTGAGGCCGTCTGGATAAGGTGGATAGCCGTCTTGGAATCAGTTTGCACCTCCAGCTTCCGAACACCTGCTTCCCATGCAACCCGAAGTCCATGGACAATACCTGCAAGCTCCGCATGGGTTATGGATCCTCCTCCAAGATTAAGTAGGCTCGAAGAAGACGACCATTGTCGTCACGAAGAGCACCCCCTGCCGCTGAACTTCCTTGAGCAAGTATCGTAGACCCGTCCGTGTTCAAAACATGCCACCCAGGCTGCGGTGGCCGCCAACAAATCAGCTCCTTCGACTTGTGATTCTCCTCACCCACAACCTCCTTCCCTCTGTTAAATGCCCATTCCCATTCTGTTTGTTGTTTCATGAGCTTAGCCTTCACAGCAAGCTCCACATAGGATAGCAGTTTCTTTTCAAACACATAGGTGTTCCTGTTTCTCCAAAGGTGCCAACAAAATATCCCAAATAAAGATGGGTCCACCGCAACACCTCTCCCCGTAACGTAGTGTAGCATCCATTGCAGGAGTTCCCCTTGGAAGAATTTATCATCTTGCTCATTATCAAGAACCTCCGCCCACGCTGCTCGTGCAAATGGACAATCACGTAGCACATGGAGCACCGTTTCTGGCCCCCCACCACATATCCGGCAATCTGGGGAAGAGACCAGGTGTCTTCGAGTTCGCTCCGAGTTTGTAAGTAGCCTCTGATTCGCTGCCAACCATAGCAGGGTACGAATTCGCTGTGGCGCTGGAGTCTTCAAAATGGCTCTCCAAGTTTGACTTGACCCGTTCAGCTCGTCTGACTCCCCCAGCGTGAGCTCGTACGCTGACTTAAGGGAGAAGACACCGTCCGCGGTGAGTCTCCAAACTGGAATGTCCTCTCCTTGCTCATGAGGAGGCGGGTGAAGGAGGATCCGCGAAACCAGCTCCTCCGGTAAAAAAGCCCGAAGGTACGTAGTATTCCATTCTCCATTCAACACCATATCCGAAACTGTCAAATTCCTGGCTTCGGGAGGGAGATTATTAGCAAACTCGGCAAGGCTTGGACCATCCTGTAGCCACCTGTCAACCCAAAAGAGAGTCTGTTGTCCGCTTTTTATATTCCACATAGTAGCTCCAGGAATGTAGTGCAACACGCGAAGCACACCCCTCCACAGGTTCGACATTCTCCCCGTCGTCCTTGCCTGAAGTCCCGTCGATGTACGCTGCATATACTTAGCTCTAATCAGCTGTGCCCACAAACTATCCCTTTCCGTCAATAGGCGCCACGCAATTTTAATCATAAACGCTTCATTGGTACGCGTGGCATCCCGCAGCCCAAGACCGCCCTGCTCTTTTTTCTTGCACACCGACTCCCAATCTAGCAGGTGTATCTTCTTCCCTTCATCGGACCCAAAGAAAAGCTCGGACTTTCTTGTCAATATAATCTCGAACGGCTGCCGGAAGCCACGCGGTCTGCATTGTATATGCTGGGAGGGAGGTAAGTACTGACTGGATCAGGGTAATCCTTGCTGCCAAAGACAACGCCTTCACCTTCCATCCCGCTAGTCTTGCATCAATTTTGTCAATCAATTCCGAATATGTTGTCTTGGACACCCAATCATGGATTACCGGGACACCAAGATAGCGCCCCAGGTTCTTAGTTTCTGGTATGCCGAGGTTCGTGCTCAGAAGTGCCGCGGTTGACTGACTCACATTCTGGGAAAAATAGACTCTAGATTTGGGACGACTCACTTGCTGCCCGGATGCCGCCCCAAACTCATCCAGACAGCCTGTAATGACGTCGACCTGCACCATAGAAGCCTCCCCAAAAAGGATGAGATCGTCTGCAAAAAAGAGATGTGACAAAAGAGGCCCCGACTGCGAGATTCGAACAGGTCGCCACTCTTGCAACAGCAGCGCTGACAAGGTGCCCCAGTCGCTCCATGCAGAGCGTAAAAATGTATGGGGAAAGCGGGCAACCCTGTCTCAGTCCGCGCGATGGTGTGAATGCTTGCGATAGTCCACCATTCCACTGAATTTGCAACGATGTCGTCGAGATGCAACTCATTATCAAGTCGATGAATGTTGTCGGGGCACCGATCGCTTCAAGAGTGTCACGGACAAAGCTCCACTTGATACGGTCGTACGCTTTCGCCAAATCAATTTTAAAAACCATCCAGCCGGACCTCCCCTTCTTCGCCCGCATAGAATGAACAACTTCCTGCAAAATACAGATGTTGTCAGTAATATGTCTCCCGGGGACGAAGCTGGTTTGTGTCTCGGCCACCAAACTCGACATAAGAGGCTTGAGTCTGTCAGCTAGGCATTTTGTAATCATCTTATAAGACACATTGCACAGGCTGATCGGCCGAAAATGCTCAATAAGAGTAGGAGTCTTAATCTTGGGAATAAGGACAACTATCGTGTCATTAACTTCCCTTACTTTCCCCGGGTCCTGCCAACAAGCTTGTGCGAAGGCCACAGCTGAAGGTCCTGCAAACTCCCAGCAACGCTGATAGAATAACGGGTTTAGCCCATCTTTACCGGGGGCTTTTAGACCCCCCATAGCTTTGACTGCTGCCCAAATCTCCTCCGCACTAAACTCCATTGCAATTGAAAGCCAACTTGTCCCAGGGATTTGCGGAAATGCTGGGGAAATAGGTTGAGGCTGGTTCCCTTCATCCGTGTACAGGAGTGCAAAACAATTTCGGGCCATCTCCAATAAAGCACCTTGGTCGTCCACCCATTCCCCCTCGACATTCTTCAGAGCACTAATACGATTGCGACGTCTTCTTTGCATGGTACGCTCATGGAAATATTTAGTATTGCGATCACCCAAAAAGATTCCGTCTAGCCTCGATTTTTGACACCAAAGCAACTCTTCCTGTACCAGGACTTCTTCAAGGGCTTGGCGTATGAGTTTCAGCTGTTTAGAATCCTCACCCACTCTCTGGTTGGCCTCAAAACGCTCGTGACACCTAGGGTACCAAATCAAGTAGCGACCCCTCTAGAATCTAATACGGTCGTCCCTACCGTAGTTGACCCACCCTCACTCGCTAATTGTAATGAGCTTCAGAGGCCCAACCAGAACGCGGGGGAGATGGGGGGTGACAAGGTTGGAGTTCTGGCGGATAATGACGTTATGGATCTTGGTGCACCAACTTTGAAAAACCAGCAGATGAAAGACCTCAAGGAACTACCAACCGCAGATCCTACCAATAGTAATGAGGTGGACCATGACCCCTCAACATTTACGGGACATGACGTTCCGAAAGAGGCTCCCCGAAAGGAGGTAGCCTCCGAGAAACACTAATCCGCGCACCTGTGCGGCCTGCTTCCAGAAGCTTTATGGATCCGAAAATCTTTGTCTGGAACTGCGGAGGAGCAGGAAGCAGACGCTTCTTGCGTGTGTTCAGAGAGTATCAACGGAGGCACGCACAGGGCGTCCATTGTTATTATAGTGGAGCCTAGGATTAGTGGAGACACTGCGTTGCAAGTGATAAATAATATGGGTGGGGTTCGACAGCAAACTCGTTGTAGACGCAGTGGGGTTTTCCGGTGGGATTTGGATTCTTTGGGACTCCTCGGCAGTCATTATCACGGAAGAGGATCACACGTCACAACTGATTCATACTAAAGTTAGAATGGGGCAGGACATGTGGTACCTTACAGCAGTCTATGGCAATCCGGCACTAATTCAGAGAAGGGAGCTGTGGCATTCCCTACGAAGTATGGCAGAGGATCTGTCTTCACCATGGATTCTTGCGGGCGACTTTAATTCGATCCTTCACCCCTCGGAGAAGCTAGGGGGGGCTGACTATGATGCAAGCAGATCACGTGAGTTCCAGGATTGCTTGCTGGACACAGGCTTAGCTGATCTGGGATACATGGGGCCACCATTCACTTGGTTCAGAGGTGCATTAAAGGAGAGGTTGGATCGTGGCCTGATCAATCACGCCTGGTCGTCCAAATTCCCCAATTCAGTGGTTCGCCATCTTCCTAGAATCAAATCGGACCACCGTCCAATCTTGATTTCCATCAACCCAAGCATGAACCCAGCTGGGCCGAAACCTTTCAAATTCATCGCGGCCTGGCTAACGCACGATGGGTTTAAGGAAATGGCAAAAGAAGCGTGGCTAAAGGGATCGAGCCTCACTAACTCGGCGTCCGAATTTCCCACGAAGGCCAGGTGGTGGAATTACCATGTTTTTGGTGAAAACGTCAAACACTAAACCTAAAACTCACAATATATTAATTAGAAAAAAGGTTGAGAGGTTATAAACACAAAAATAAAATAAAAAACAAAATTCCCCTGGTGGTATCTTGGTCAAATGGTGAGATTCTCATGAATGGGTATCAGCGAGCCCAAACTATTCACGTTCTCCTGAATGGCTATCGACGAGCCCAAATTATTCAGATTCTGCTGCAAAGGTATATACGAGCCCAAGATATTCCCACCAACATCCGGGAACGTTACAAACCCAGGAAGCGGCCCAACCCGGCCCATCAAATCCACTTCCACAGGATACTTCATCAGGTGACCCTTCATCTCCACCACCGCCTCCCCTGCAAATCGCCGCCAGTTCTCTTCTCCGATCGCCCTCACCCTCCTCACACACTCCACGCTCTCCGGCCGGTCGAAGCACTCTTCTTCCACCGGTCCTCCGGTATGCTCCGCCCACAGAGATTTCCTGTACCCATGTACCTGCCCGCGGGCAGGCTTCCCGTTCTTACCCAAGCTATGCCGCCGCTGAAACCCTCCCATCGCGATCTCACTGTCGCGGGTGCCCTCCATCGACCTCTGATTGATGTTGGCCGACCCGATGATGACGTACTCGTCGTCGACGATCATCCCTTTCGAGTGGACATAGATCATGAACCGCCGGCTCTGCTTGCTCTGTTCCTGAGGGGTATTCGCCGATCCTGCGGCGGGGGCCGAATTCGACGAGCTTGCTTCGCGGTTTCCGAGGCAGAAGAAGTTGAGGTAATCCTGGGGCTCGTAGGTTTTGTCCAGCCCGACTTCGATTAACGCGTTGTGGATTGTTTGGTACATCATTTGCATTGTCTTCTGCTGCCAGAAGAGGATTCTCTGTGTGGGTGCGCCTGTGGGAACGCCTTCCGGCCACATTGGGATCAGAATGTAGGCTGCGAATCTTTGATTTGCCCTGATCTTTTCAGCGATTTTGAGCGCGATTTCCATCGGTATCAAGTTGTTAGCGCCCAGGTTGTTATAGGAGTCCCAGCCATAGGATGATCCGAGGAAGTACTGGTTCTCGATGTAGATGAAGTTCTGCGCGGCGCGGATGGCATTGACGTAGGCTGCGTGGATGCTCATGTCGATCAGTATGTTCTTCCCGCACAGCAGGTTCTGTATAGTTAGAGCAATGGTAAATGTTAGCTGGATTTCGAAGCAGAGATTATAGTGGAGAAAGGTAAAGGTAGAGGCTTTTGATTGTTACCTTGCTTGTTGCGTGTTTGGGATCGTCAGGAAAGCCTTTGACAGAAGTGGAATCTATGGAACGAAAGACCTGAACATGCCAAGCTTCAGGATCATGTTCACTCATTTGGGCGACTTCTGAAATCCCAAGGATTTCAGGGATTCTTTCCAGCTTCAGCAATGCATCATCTAGTGAACCTTTCAGCTTCTGCAGTCCGCGAGGCTTGGAAGCTTTCGACCAGCGCTCTTCGAAGTTGGTGAGGACATCATATGCCGCTGGACCGTCAATCTTGCTGTGCATATCATGCCATGGCTCTCTGGGGCAGCCAGCACTTGGCACCGCGAATGTTGGGTTGTGGAAGTCGTCTCTGTGGAGAGTCTGTGATGTCCTGAAAATGGGGTGATCTTGAGTATCATACCGGCCATTGCATAAGTCGAGCCCTCCTACGAAAGCTACAATCTTTCTTCTGGTGTGTCCTGCATCAGCATCTACTATCACTGTCTTTTGATGGTGAGTGTATATTGTTCCAACTTCCTGTCAAAACCCAACACCAGGAATGAAACCACAAGGACATGATAGAACACAAACAGTAAGCATTAATCAAAGGTTATATATGTTAGTAGTGTCAAACCTGTTGTTTGATGAAACTGTGCCCTTGATCAGGAGACCTCGGGCATAGCAGGACCTGTACCGACGAGTCCTTGAAATATTGCCGAGTTTCCTCATCCCCTGTACCCATGATTCCCTCCTGCATTTCATTTCCATTGTTGTCATGAGCTGATATGATAGAAATGGAAATACAACGGCAAGGGTTTTTAGTTCTCAATTTCTTACATGTTTGTGTCCCAGGATACTCCTTGAAGTAGGATCATCCCATACAAGAAGCAAGACTCTAACACCTTCCTGAGACTTGGCTTTCAAAAGCTCCCCCAATGTGCAATCATTCCTCCCTTTCCTAACCAACTTCACCTTATAGTTCACAGACCAACCAGCTATGTAGACCATCCTGCTCGCCTTGCTGATGGCCTCAAACACATCACCCCAGCAGCTCCTATGCTCGTATCGAGCTCCGCCTTCGAGCTTCACATCATGAGCATCTTCATGACCATGAGCATCTTGGTAAAGGGTGACCTTCCCGCCTTTCCTGAGTGGAAAGTACGTCCCAGGAACTCCATTGTAACCAACTTTAGACCGAGCTCCAGCTTTGTAAATCTCAATTCCATCAATTGGGATGAACCCAACCGACAAGGTCAATGTAGCTCCAGCCTTCAATGGCTTTCCGTTGGAATCGAGGATCGGGAACGTACCTTCGATCCTGTTCCCCGACACGAGGTCCTGAACTGGGATCGCGACGGCTCCTACGACTTCCGATCCCACAACGTCGTCGTCCTTGACAATGAAGTGGAGTTCGGAGGCCAAATGTGCGACTGGGACGTTGTGGAAGTGCTGAATCCATACAGGGTTCTCGGTGTCGTCGATTACGAACGTCCTGGCGATCACTGCGCCGGACAGCGATACCGTGACATACGGGTCGGTGGTTGGTATCTTGCCGCGGAGGGCTTGGCCTTTGTTGCTGAGCTTGGTGAACATCTGGCCGAAGGACTTGTGGAGCATGTCCATGTTTGGAAGGTTGTTGGCTTGCTTTACCCAGATGTCGAGATTCCCATGTAGGAGGAGAACTCTGAGATTGGGTTTGCTGGTAGTGTTGAAGGGAGAGGGTTCTTGACCCTGGCCGTGAACCGATCCCCCGAACGAGCTCCAGTGATCTATGGCGTGATTATTCCTTCCCATGATAGATTCAGAGGCGAATGAAGTAACGAGAAAGATTGCAGAGAGTAAATGGGCAAGGGAAAATGGGAACTTTTGAATGTAAATTTGGGATCTAAACTTGGTTAGAAGAAAGATGAAGGACAAAGAGAAAAGGAGAGGGGAGGGATGAGATGGGTTTAAAGAGAGAAGGAATGAAGGAGGCTGGATCCATACTTGGAACTAGTCAGTCTATTATCTTTGACTGTTCTTGTTTGGCTGGCTTCCAGGGAAACTCAGCGGCTGCTAAAAACACAGGAAGACAGAGGTTGGTGGTGGAAGAGTCAACGAAGAAGGGAATCTTCACAACTTGAGAAGGAGATGCAGTTGGGTTACTTAAAATCCGAGACAAGGACATGATTCATCTTTTCGGGAGGCCAACTTTATAGCTCATTTATTCTTTGCTTCAATCCATGTTGTATGTCAACTTGTCATTAACTAATTCATTCTAATAATACGATTGATTGGAAGGGAATCAATAAAACATTTTACATCATTTCCTCAAGGAATACCTCAAAATCGAACCAGTAAACGAGGAATTTGCATCAACAACATTTCTCGTCATCAGAATGGAATGTCGACTTCACGGTATATCGAGAGAGAGGGTAAATGAACACAAGACTTTACCAGAAGAAGGTAATTTTCACTTTCCATGCGGGAAATAATGCGATTACATACTGTTGGACAAATGGAGTTAGAAGGAATTAATGCTACTCTCTTTGCCGTTGAATACTTTTCACCCAACAGCTAACTTGTAATGCCGAAGAGGAGAAGGGGCCATGGTTGCAATTGCAATTGACCATGCGCCTCTCTAAGCTAATAGTCACTAATCCGAAGCAATATCAGTCCGACTAATTAGAAGTTCAAATCAATAAGGAAATGCTAAACAGCAGTGTAAGCTAGGCGCCTAAAAGAAGAGGGCAGTGTAGAACAATTGGTTCCAAGTATCAGGGAGGCCAGGAAGGCACCAATGGCTGCAATCAGCTCCTCTCAGAGGGTTTGCCCTCTGCTGGGGGCTTAAATCGCCGCTGTAGATCGAAGGATGAGCATCTTTCCTTAGACCTGAGAGCATTGTAATGTCTAGCAGGTATGGTGGCCTCCGCATTTCTTGGATCACTTCCTCCACAACCTTCAATTGATCTGGGAACGCTCCTGGGTATGTTGTTCCGCTCACCGGAGATGTCTCCCCGTAACAGTTCTTCGTTGCAGCGGTTGCTCCGGCACTCCACAAGCTAGGGCTGCCGGCGACAAACAAAAAAAAGTAAGTGCTAAAATAGTAGCATTTGGTAATTGACCTAATTTTTGAACATTAAAACCCAGTGCAAGTAACTATTCAGACAAATAGCATTCATTTACAGCAGTTAACCATAATAGCCAGAAATGAAAACGCCACCTACTGCTCAGCCTTTTAACTTAAGGCAACAGTGAAGTTACAAATGAAGCAACTTTCTTCTCACCTATCTATCTATCTATCTATCTATCTATCTATCTATTTGCCAATTAATATAATAGTTCGCCTTCTAATAGGTAGATTTCCCGCATTAAATTCATTCTGCATACTCTGATCTGTTGCTACTTGCTAACACAAGGACCTGTCAATAGCCAACTCCCAAAGCTGGACCATACATGCAAATTGCAATAATAGACTAAGCCGTTAAGGTAAATGCAGAATGGACCCATACACCCACCAGAGTACGATCCCTGCCCACAGTTTAAGTTATTTGGAGCACAAGTTCCACAGTTCCAGTGCTAGGAGCCATATGAGAATATAATATAGACTATGCATTACTCTTTCAGCAAATTGAAACAGTATTTAAATGTGTCACTAAGTTTGAATACAGAGAAAAGGGGAGGCATATATTAGTGTATACTCACTCATAGTGGGTTGGAGAAGTGGAGAGGAAGAAGACACGGGTATTGGATCGTTCAAAGTGGGTATCAACCCAGTTACCCCATGCCCTCATAGCTTTCTCCATTGCAGTCAAGCGATCCATGTCTTTGTAATATGTGCCTCCAGTTTCCATGTATTCCCATCTGCAGTTTCAGGAGCAAAGCTGTAAACTTTAGACGGTAGAATGATGGATAACCCTAAACCTCTTCAGCATCTAACTACGGACAATTGGTTTCTAAAACCTAGTTGATGGCTTGATGCTAATGGCGGGAAATTTACCCTTGAAGTTGACCTTGATGATTCCACCAATGGCCAGTGTTGAAGGACAGAACGTCGGCGTTGCGCCAGATGGCAGCGTTGTTGGAGATTTGGTCCAGCTTCAGAACTCTCTTCCCTTGCTCCTCAACTATGTCTACCAAATATGGTGACTTGTAAAATGAGATCGTAACATCATATTCCTGCAGCCCAAAAGGTAAAAGGAAAGAAACCCATATCACCAAAGGTTAAAAGTTAAAAACCCATGAAAAGGAAAACAGAGCATACGCAAAAAAGGCCCCTGCTTTCCACTCCCCAACACTTCAATCTGTGGACCCAAAATATTCCTTTTTCTAGCTTCCTGCCTTTCTCTTTTCCCCACCTTCCCCAGAGAAGGAATCTCAAATTCGCAACTGGCATCTCTAACATATCTACAGTTACCCTAGTAAGGAATTTATTATTGTCTGTTATCTGTCTGCCTTCCCATTCTTCCCTTCATAGGTACATCATATTTCTCTAGGTAAGGAATTATTTGAGCAATAAGCAAAGTCCTATTCTGATTCTGGATTGCACACATGATGGTTTATGTATAAACTTCCAAAAAGCAGAACATGGATTGGCGATGAAGTTTTAAAAGAACACATGGAATACTGCTGTAAAAGTTGGGATATGTAAAGCGGGTAATGGAGTAATGACTTCGATGATAAAAATGTAGATACCTCCCAAAAAAAAATACATTTCAATTTGACTATTCGAATAAAGAGATGTCTTAACTCTCTTAAATTAAGCATCTCATAATTTATACTAGTCGGATATACAAGGTGGTAACTTTATCGAACATTGGATATGATCCATCCAAAGATTACATAGCGAGATGTATAATCCAACAGCGTAAAAACATCCTTATGTAAGTACCCATCTAGACCTAACCAAATTTGTAAAGAGAATATTGATACATCTACCATACACAACTAAGTAAACATTTAATGGTAGTGGATGAGAATTTAAAGAACTTTTAAAATCATATATGATGAACTCACGGATTCTATTGATGAACACACGCTTTGCTTTGCTAATAGATTACTATGAAAAATGAAAAGGCTGGCCATCGAATTTTTAACCAGAGGAACAAAAGGGTGAAAAATAAGAGGAAACCATACCCAAAAGGCCAAAACCCAGAAACGTTGTCAGAAAAGGACAAGAAAATAGTGCCAGACAGCGCATAATTTGACCCATTATTTTTGTTCTTCCAAAAACGACGGGCCGAGAAGAGAAAAAAAAATTAATCAAGGAGCAATAAAATATCTCCGGCCATGGAAGGAGAAGGAGAAGGAGAAGAAGAAAGGGGAAAGTTACTCCCACTTCACTTACCAAGAACTTGACAGAGGACAGAGGGTCCCCGCCGTTCAACTGAGTCGTCGTCCGAGGCAGCGACGCCATAATCATACAAATCAACGATTCAAACTGATTCCGCGAAATCGAATCGCCAACGAACATCAAGCTCTTCCCACTCATCCTCTGCAGAAACTGCTGCCCATCAAACCTTCCAACCAAGCAAAAAAAATAAAAATAAAAATCAGAATACAGCAACAGTGTTTTCGATGTCAAGTAAAAACTGCTAGTACCTGGGGAGCTCGCAGCCGAGGGGCTTCCAGCGATACTTGGGGTAAGTGAAATCTGGGCGGCCGTAGACCTGGCAGTTGAAATTAGGGTCGATGAAGGAGCAAGTGGAGGAAGAGTAGACCGGGTAAGAATCGTCGCGGACCCAGCTGCCTTCGAACAATGCGCAGCCGGTTCGGTTGGTCTGGATCCTGGGGAGGAGGGTGTTGTGCTGCTGCCGGTGGTGGTTTCTGTAGCTTAGTATCAGAGCAGAGGACGCTAGCTGGGTTTGGGAAGCTAGCAGTAGAAGCACAGAGATGAGTAATACTAGTAGTGTCTGCTTCTTGCGGGATGATTGGGGAGCTGCAGAGGAGGGCGCCATTTTTGCTTCTCTTGTGTGTTTGGGCGGAGGGCAGGGGAGGGAGAAGAAGGAAGGATGGGGTGCCTGCTGGAGGAGACACAGATTGCCTTTGTAAATGGACAAAGAGGGAGAGAGGATTGATTGGGGAATGGGATCGGCTTCCTTTCTTTTCTCCCATTTTTCTAATTTTGAACTTTCCGAGATCTTTTGTTTGTTGAGTTGTTAAATGTTAATTCTGGTTGATTTAGACATTTAGTAGCCTAATCAATTGATTATGCTTACACTTTTTTGTAGTGAGTAAATACCTTTTATTTATGGAAGCTGTTCATAAGCACACATAACTTTAGGTACCAAATATAATATTCTAGACAAATATTTTTGTAAAAATTTAAAACCTACTGAAAGCTGAGTTGCATGATTTTTAAGTGGATCACTTCTACTATGCTATATAGCATTAGTGTTTTAATGTACAATTTAATATTTTTGTAAAAATTTAAAACCTACTGAAAGCTGAGTTGCATGATTTTTAAGTGGATCACTTCTACTATGCTATATAGCATTGGTGCTTTAATGTACAACTTAAAGTTGTACCATAATATCAAATGTATAAGTTTAGGTTGTACCATAAAGAAATTTGTATCATTATGTTATGGTACAACTTTACAACTTGAAGTTGTACCATCACATAATGTACAAGTTTAAGTTGTACCATAAAAGAATTTGTACAAAAAGTATATGTACAATATGAAGTTGTACCATAACGTTAAAAGTACTATTTCAAGTTGTACCATAAAGAAAAAACTTATAGCACCAATGTTGTATAGCATTGTAAAATTCCTCTTTTAAGTGATGTTTGTTTGGGGACAAGTAAAACTATCATACGTACTATGGCAAAAAAAAAAAAAAAAACTAGTGATAGTTTGATAACACTTGAAAATTAGTATTGAATATGTTCTTTTCTTCTCGACATTTCTTCCATTTTGATACAACTTTAGTCATTTTACTATGACTTTTGCTTTGTATTTGTTCCTTTGTGCATTATATATCCTCTATAAGTATTTTCATATTTACCTTTTGTGATACTAAAATCATTCAAGGTTGATCATTGAGATTACTAAAACCGTTTATGTTTGATCACTGAAAATATTTAAATCCAATATTGGTCACTAAAATTAGTTAAATATTTCAAGTTTGATCACTCTCCGTCTAACTCAATTAACTTTTGCTTATGTGGCAGTCAACTCTTATAGTTGACCTTTAAATGTATGACATGACAAATAAAAAATATTTTTTTAAAAATTTCTCATTTTCAACTATTAAAAATATAAAGGGTTAATATATTTGTATGTCCCGAACTTTTCACATATTAAACATCCTGACCAATCTTTTTGATCTATAACTTTGTGGCCTCAATTATGCATCAAAGTTACGAAATTGGCCAAACGCTATATTTGACCGTTATCATGGACAGTCAAACGCGTTTCTAAGTCAGCATAAAAAATACTTAAAATATTCAAAAAAATCCACATGATCACCAATTTTGAATTATTATAAATAAAAGATTATTACAATTAAACTGAAAATAAATAAAAATAAAAAAATCTATTATTTTTCCCAAACCCCACCACCACCATTCCCAATCTCTCACCTCCCCCGAAACCCCACTCCGCATAGCTCATATAGCCCAAAACCTCCATTGATGGCGGATGTATTTCCAAACGAACGGGATTGGAGAGTGTTTGAGCCTAACTGAGTGTAGGAGTGAGACTCGGGAAAATGGGGTGAGTAGAGCAAGCAATGAGAATCCTCTATCGGTTGAAGAACAAAGGTATGAGAGAATGTGATTGAGAGAGTGATATCTTAGAGAGAGAAGTTGATAGTTTGTAGTGATAGAGTCAGAAAATCCGATCCCCTCGCCTATCGGAGTAAATGCTCTATTTATAGGACACATTGCGGTGGGTGTACATTTAATGTGGCATGACTGCTACGTGTGTCAGACGTTTAGGCCATGTCTTAGGCCATAATTATACATAGGACTAGGATGTGACCGTTCCTTCGGAGGATACGGCGTCGTTCTTCCCGATTTTCCTTCTCAGTTCGAATTAGGCGAAACGACGCCGGCTTGGATAGGGCAAACGACGCCGTCTGGCATTAACAAAACGGCTCTGGCTTGAGTAGAGCAAAACGACGCCGGCTGGCGCTTCTAGCACTCGCGTACTTGTCTTTACTCGCAGAGGCTTCTAGTACTCGCGGAAGGTTTACAAAACGGCGCCGGCTTGAGTAGAGCAAAACGACACCGGCTGGCGCTTCTGACACTCGCGGACTTGTCTTTACTCGCGGAGGCTTCTAGTACTCGCTGAAGGTTCTTTCCGCGAGCGCACGGAGCGCGCTGGGCAGTCTTGCTTGCGCGACTGGATCCGAGCTATATCCCCAACAATTGCCCCCCATCAGGGGGTATTCTGTGAATGCCGCCTGTTCAAGTCTTGCGCGCTGGGCTCGGTTCCTCGCGCTCATCGTCCTCTTTCTTACACTTGGTTGTTCGTACCTAATTTTCTCACTGTCTCTGCCTTCTTTCTTGCGCTTCTACTTTTTTGCGCGCCCCCCAGGCGGTGTGCATACCCTATGACGTCACCGCCTAGTCCTTACACTTTATAGGTGCCGACGTGGCACTCTGCCATTCACTTGTTTGGGCGCGGCTCCTGTTGACATTCCGGAGACATCAGAGACGTCATCGGAGCCGCTCTGTGTCTCCCGCGTGACCGAGGTGACCAGTCGTCTTGGTGTGCGTGGGGTAGGGGCCACGTATACGATCCTGGATTGGGAGGAGATGTTCGACGCGGGACAGCTTCTGAGTAAAAATCTGTTGCGCGGACCAGACCACGTGTCGGTGTGTGGGCGGCGCGAAGTGACAGAGCTGGTGCGCGGGTTGGGGTTGCCCCCCAATTGGCAATATGCAGTTCCCACGGCGCGGAGTCGGATTGGAAACTGCCCCCCCGGGTGGTTCGGCGTATACTCCGAGTATTGGAGGATGGAATTCAAGTTCCCCATCGACCCGCTGTTGTGCGCACTGTATAGGCATCTGGGTTGCTCAGTCGCGCGCCTGTCTCCTTCTGTGATCATGCACGTGTCTTGTCTCCGCCTCGTTTGCAAGAGGCTTAACATTCAACCATCTTATACGGGCTGTTCCGGAAGATATATAAAATAAAAGGGCCCACAGAGAGGAGCGACTGTCTTTCCATCAGGCGGCGAGACAAGCGGCCCGATGTTACGTGTATGGGTCCCCCAAGTTGGAGAAGAACTGGTTTGAGTGGTTCTTTTTCATGAAGCCCGTTCCGGGGAAGTGGGTCAGTGAGTATGTGGAGGAGCCGACTGCTTGGAAGAAAGGGCACTTACGTGGCTTTGAGTCAGAGTTGGGCAAGTACGATGGGCTCGATGAAGAATACGAGGCTTGCATGCCTCAGAGGATAAACTTATACTCCAGCGGCATCCGAGCGGCGTGCTTGGAGGAGCTCTTCGCTGATGGTTAGTTATATTTCTTTCTTTTTGCATTCTGTCGTATTAATAGTCGTCTTACGACTTATTGTCGCAGGTGTCGACTTCTCGTCATTGGTGAGCATGATGTCGGTTGACAACGTCGTGAAGGCTCCGCGGGCTCCGCGTGCCGAGAAGAAGAAGAAGGAGAGCGTGCAACCCAGCAGCTCGAAGAGGAAGGAGGTGGAACAACCGTTGGTTGCAGAGAGGCCTAAGAAGGCGGCGCGAGTGACCGAGAAATCCGCGCAGGCGGCACAACAGCTGCCTATGGTGATTTCTGAACCGGAGGCGCGAGTGGGTAAATCTCTGACTCGCTACGACACAACACCTAACAATGGCCAAGTGTAACCAATGGAAGGGACTGCAGTATAGTGGCTCAAGTGATAAATATCGAATCCACGGGTCTCTAGAGTTACTATTACTCAGCTTCAGTTTATTATTTAGCAAACCAGATTAAGATGAAAGAACTAAAACTACTCTAGCAAACTACAGTTAAAGTTAATCTAATTACAGGTTGGGAACTCACTTAGGTATGATTCCCCCTAGCCACTAGCCAGACTAACGATTGATGATTTCTAACTTGTTTCACTTTCATTCACAATGCGGAGAATCCTTGACTAGACCTTGAGTCTCGACTAAAGGAACAAGGCCCTCTTGAGTCAATTGCCTAGAGGGACGTATCCTTCTCTAGAACAACTGATCAAGGCGTTCTGAACTAGACTCCCTCTATCGAAAGAGGTTCTCAATCGATACAAAGCAGTGAATCAACCCTCGACTAAAGCAATCGATCCACTACTATCAATCTATGGTGCTCTATTGACCTAATCATGTATTCCCTCTCATAGGATCAAAGCAGAATCAATAATCTCGACTAAAGCAGAATTGAATCATGAAAACATGCATAGATTGAATATGAACTAAAGATTATCAAGTCAGAGTACTCATACAATCATCCAATCAAACAAACATAGCTAGGGTTCCTCAAAACCTAAGTGAAGGGAAGTTACTCCATAGAGAAGAGAGAGACTGCAGTAAGAATCTTTAGATGATCAGTCTTCAAGTCCGGGCTTGTTCCTCGAGCTTCCAAGGCAAAGAAATCCTCCAATTCCACTCCAAGAATGCCCTCAAATCGCCCTCTCTCTCTTTGGTTCGTCCCTTGGGTGTTTGGGATCCAAAACCCAGCTCTCTCTCTCCTTTGGCTCGAATTTGGGTTAAAAAAACCCGATTCTGGGCAAAACACGGTCGAGGGCACGGCCGTGCTTTGGTTTTGCCCGCCCGTGCTTTGCCCCGTGTTAAAAACACGCCCGCGCGCGTCGGCCAAAACACGGTCGTGCCTCAATATGGGCACGGCCGTGTTTTGATTTAGGCGCGCCCGTGTTTTTACTGCCGAACCTGTTCCCCTATATTCAATGCTTCGTTTCTCCCTCGTCCGGACTCCGAATCAGTCGCCGTTTGATCCCAGACGCTCGTAGTCTCGTCCTCTTTATTTT